TCAGTGACATTAGAATTGTGAAAAAAGGGGGGCCAGAGAAAGGTTCTCTTCTTAGAGATGTTAAGAGTGATGAAGCCCTAGCTGGTTTTGCTCAGTGGATAGAGCTTAGGTCTGCGGACTGAAGGGTCCCAGGTTTGATTCTGGTCAAGGGCACATGCCTGAATTGTAGGCTCAATCATGTGCTGCTGCTACCATGGGGCATGTAAAGGTGCAGCAGGCATCTTGGCTTGCAACGGATCACTTTCCATCCTGGATTCCACAGAATTACCTCCAGTTCCTTCTGACCACATTCACCAGAGGAAAACCTTAGCTGAAATTAGCTTGATGGTTACACAACATGTGAATGTACTTAATGCCACTGAATTGTACACTGAAACATGACTACAATGGCAAACTTCATGTGATACATATTTTAACTCAATTAGAATGTACTTATCAAGATTTTTTTTAAAAAGTTATATGTATGATATATAGGAACTATGCATACATACATATATATATATATAGTTATATATATATATATGTATATATATGGGCCATTTGTATGTCTTCTTTGGAAAAAGGGTCTATTCAGTTCCTCTGCCCCCTTTTTAATTGGATTGTTTGTTTTATGGCTATTGAATTATGCAAGTTCTTTGAATATTAACCCCTGATCACATATGATTTGCAAATATTTCCTCCCATCCCCTTGTTTGCCTTTTCATTTTGTTGACAGTTCCAAGTGAGGATCCTAATTAAATTTGTAGCCATAAATTTTCCTGTTGTCACAAAACCATTCAACCCTGCCAACTTTTAGTCTAGCAGGGGCTCCAATGAGTAGGAAAGTATTTCCTTTTCTGTCACAAAACACGAATTCTCTGGAAGCTCAGAAAGAATGATTTCATGCACTCTGGGTTTTTGTTATGGTTGCTTCAAAGGTTGCAATACAAACTCCCAAGGAAAAGGCTGTTTCCGCCCCTAAAAACCTTAATAATGAGGGTGTGAGCAGCAGGAACGGTCCTTCAGCCAACTCCAGGCTTATTCTTCAAGTGAGACAAACGAGCCTCGGATGACCTAGGACCCAGGCTCCCAAGGTCAAACCACAGAGCCCCACACTGAGAAATGATCTCATTCCCACAGCAGAGCACTTCGGGGTGGTTTCTCTTCTCTCACAAGATCTTTAGTTCTCCCTTTAAGTTTATCAACCTCGACACACAAGAGAGGACACACCAGAGAGTTCTGAGGAAATGGTGGAGGCCGGAAGTGCAGGCTTAGGTGGCTGGTTGACCTCGTGCTTTTTCTGCCAACTTGTCCTTCACACACACACACACACACACACACACACTCTCCCCCCACCCCCACTCGCCACCCTGGTGTTCCACCCACACCAGTCAGAAACTCTAGGACAAAATATGCTTTTCAAACACTGCATAGTCTACGAGGGGGAGGATTTTAACCGGCCTCCCAGAAACAGTATCAGAATCACTTAGGGGTTTTTTTTTCTTCTCCTAAGTTATGGCCATTCACTGACCCCCTCCTCCAAACACGTGCGGTCCCCCCATGTGGATAAGCACTCACTCCTAAGGAGATGAGTGGGGCACATGTGACAGAATTTCTACAGAACGACCAGTCCCAGGCGCTGGGGCTTACATCCCATCCACGCAGGTCCCAGGGCTCCCCGCCCACGGTGGAAACCAGGAGGTGCGGTCCCTCCCGGCTCTGCCACCTCAAGGCCAGGGCACCCCACCACTGCTCAGTCAGTACCAGCATTTGGGGTGTTGGGAGGGCCTGGGAGACAACAGGGTGCGAGCGGGTTGAGGATGCAAAGCGGGCACAGGACAGGGTCTGGAGACTGAATGGCAACCAGTGGCAAGTAAATGATGCCCTCCCTGCTTTATGAAAAAAGAAGCTCCTCTTTCTTGCTGTAGAAAAGAGAGAACGCATGGGAATTAAGAACACCGGTGACTTGGAGGTAAGCTGGCTACTCTCTGAGAAGTTTGAAAACATGTATCGAGGTAGAATCATCCTACCTTTGTGAAAGGGAGGTGACCGTTTTCTTTCTAAAAGGGACTAGAAGCTCCAGGGTTTTCTGACTTCCTTGCTCTGTTTCCTTCTGACTTATTCTACTGAAATTATGTGGGTTATGGAAGAGAAAGAGGACAGAGACGCCACCACTTAGAACAGGTTGTGATAATGGAGGGGAGTAGGATGTAGGCGCCTACACAGTGAAGTGTGACCAAGCCAGTTAGATTCCTTCAAGGGGTAGGCATTGCCTGTTGTCAAGATGTCACACCCTATTTTCAAAGGCAATTTCATGAGCTTTTCAGGACTTAAAATAACAAAACAAATAATTACACTAATGCCTACACAGGCCTGTTGGGGTTGTTTGATATCCCTGTAATATTTTAAGTTCTTTGCATCATCGGATTAAGCAACATGAGCAAGTAACTGCAGCGCTAAAGGCCACGGTCAGGCCAGGGGAGACCAGCATTAGCAAACAGATTAACTCCTGGGCAAGCCAGAAAGAAAGGAGTTAAGGCTTTGATCCAAGGCTTATTATTTTCAAACCAACTCCCAGTTACGTTGAAGATGGATCTCTTGGAATGAATCACGGAAACCAGGGTATACATTGCACCCCCTTCATCGTCGCCAAGTGTCCCACCGAAGAAAACATGCTGTTGAAACTGCTGACCTGCTAAGTGAGAAAGCACATTGACGGAGCGTGGGGAGAACCGACACTCCGTTTCGGAAGAGTCTGCCATGGTTTCCTTTGGGTAAATGACTTGAGCACCTGTGAACAGGGGCTGCCCTTCCTGCACTACGAAACGGCTGTTAGGTCTATCGATCACGCAGAAGTGCCACGAGGCTTAATTTATTAGTTCATGTTCGTGTTACGTCCTGCAGCTCTCAGGCGGAAGGCCTGATAGAAACACAAAGCAGATGTGTATTATCTAAACATCTGCCTCCTGCAATGGCTCTCTGGGAAGTGTTCATTGCTTTAGCACAAATGATTCCTCCAGAAGTGGCTGCTTTTGTCCAGGTCTTTCTTGGCCTATGAATCACTTCCCCTCCTTTCAGTACAGACTCTCCGGGCAGATTGTACTGCGGGGCTGTGCTGTCCATCTTGTCCCTGGAAAAGTCGCTGTGGATGCTGCACCTCTGGGAGTGAGCACTGCAGTTACTTACAGGTCTGCCCCTTTCCTCACCAGTCTGCCCTCTTCTCTCTCTACTCCCCAAAGCTGTTATAAGTTGGCTTTTCTTCGACCCAAGGGCTTGGTGTTTTCCAATTAGGCAGTAAAAACAAGAGAAATCACTTAAAAGGTTATTGAAATAAAAAGAAAATGCAAAAAAAGAGGACTGGTCCAAGTTTGTTCAAACTTATTTTGATGACATTAAACTACCTGACGAATGGTTGAAGGTTATATTGAAGATGATTTTTGCTACTCTTAATGCTGTCCATAATTTTGTTAAAACTCTGGCAAGTACCTGAGAGCACACGGACATTTATTCCTACAGAAATTCCACAGTTCCAATATGTATCTGCTGGGACTTAGGTAATTTATTTTCTAAATACAAATAGATAAAGAAAATGAATAATAAATTGTCAACATATTGTTTTCAAAGGTTTTCTTCTTCCCATCTTTTCACTTGCACTTCAATTGTGAGAGTATATTTTTTCTTTGCTTACTAGTCCTCAGTGCTCTTGCTGGTGGTTATGGGAGTGTCTTAACCGTACCCAGGATGTTTAATCAGGTGTTGTGAGATGCCTTTTCTGACATACTGAATAGGACCTTTTGTGTCTGGCTTCTTTCACTTAGCATGTTTCCAAGTTCATGAATGTTGTAATACCATGTATCAGTTCATTAATTTTCATAGCCACACAATATTCTATTGTATAGATACATGACATTTTATCTATCCATTCATTAGTTGATAGACTTTTAGGTCATTTCTACTTTTTGGTAACTATACTGTTATGAACATTCATGGATAAATTTTGTGTCAACATAATTTTAATTCTTTTGGGTATACACCTCAGTGTGAAAATGCTGTCACATGGTAGCTGTATATTTTACCTTTTGCAGAACTGCCAACCTGCATGTTCCAAAGCAATTGTACAGTTTTATAATCCCACCAACAGTGTAAGGTTCTAATCTTTCGACAAATTGCCAATACTTGTTACTTTTTTATTTTAGCCATCATAGTGGCTATACAGTAATAACTCACGGTTTGTAGTTCCCTAGTGGCTAACGATATTGAATCTTTTTATGTGCTTATTAGTCATTTGCATATTTTCTTTGGAAAAATATCCAAATGTTTCCATCATTTTTAAACTGGGCTTTTCGTTGATGAGTTATGAATTCTTCACATATTTTGGATACAACTCCCTTATCAGGCATATGATTTACAAATATCTTCTCCCATTTTGTGGATGTCTTTTTACTTTGTGTCCTTTGGTACACAAAACATTTCAATTTTGATGAACTCAAGTTTATCTTTTTCTTTCATTGGTTGTAGGTTTTGTTGTTGTATTTAAGAAATCGACTAACCCAAGGTCACAAAGATTTACTCTGTTTTCTTCTATGAATTCTGCAGTGTTTGCCCTGTGATCCAGTGTGAGTTAATTTTTGTATACTGTGTAAGGTGGGTGTCCAACTTCATGCTTTTGCATGTGGATATTTAGTTGTCCCAACTCCATTTGTAGAACACTGCTCTTTTCCCATGAATACTGTACCCTTGTGAATGGGATGCATCTTCTTACAATTATAACTATCTTCATCCATAATAACACATCTTACAATTCATGGCATGACATGAAACAATAGCCCACATAAACGTGCATTTTCTTTTGGTGGAAGTGAAAAATCTGTCTCAACAATACTAAGATTCTTTCAGTATCAACATGATGGAAAAAATTACCATAAATACATATATTTTCTTATGGAAGACATCAGTTTAAGGCCGGAAGGCTTACACATAATCCTTATGTCGTTAAACGTGAATGAAGATTTTCACAAAAGTAGCAATATAACTTTAATGGTCAGAAAGAAAATCCATTAATCCTACAAGCCAGGTTAAGATCTCCTAGAAGTTAGAGTTATTTGACAGAGATGTAATGTCACAAGAAATAGTAATATAAGCACCGATGAAGTTTTTTTTCCATAAGAAAATTAAGGGGGTTTTGAGTATCCAGATTTTAATATATCCGCACTGTGTGGAATATAAAACAATAATAAGCTTAAATACAAGAATCAAGTCTGCTTTTGTATTAGCTTCCTAGTGAATGTCCTGATGAACCCAGGATGGCCACAGAGTCTGAAGACAACCACTCAGAAACATACTGAGATCCGTTTAATAGTTTTTGAAGGTTTTTCCTGTAAAATGGCTTGTATTTCCACAGGTACAATAGTGAAGAAATAAATTTTTCAATTTGACATGAAATATAAAAGAACAGTTTTACAAATATAGCCATAAAATTTAACTGCTCATAACACTATACATGGTAAATATGACCACCCCTTAACTAGACTATTTAATACAGGGAAGCAATCTGTCATCTCCACTAAAAAACAAAACAAAACAAAAACCTCAGCTTCCCTTTCATTGAGTTTATTTTGTTTAGAAAGTTAAATAGAACTGGAAAAATATTTGCTTTTCCCTATCTTCCTCTAGGGATTGTTCATGAGGGCTAAAATTTACTTGAGAAGATGTAAGTTTTATAAAAAAGAAATACTGAGAAGTCTTGTTGTACTGCTTCAATCATTCTTACACTCTTTTCAAAAGATCCTAAAGTTTTCTCATTGGCCTTAGACTGGGTAATAAAGAAGCGATCACAGGGTGGCTCCATTTCCAGCACCAATGACGGACCTTCATACCTTCAGCCCATGGAGGCTGGACTGTGGGGATGTAAGGTTGACTGGCAAGGGAACGGAGCTGGACCCGGCTTAAAATCAAAGTTCCATGGTTTGTCTATCAGAAATTCCACTGTCACAAGGCAGGATCACACGAATATAGCTAGGTGTTAGCCAGCATTAACAATGGTGTGATCATAACCCTTTCATGCAAGTCCAGGGCTTTTAAAAACAAAAGAAGTGGATCAAAATCATAGAACGGCAGGTGACAATTCTGTGACCTGTGTCACACTTAAATCAAGACAGGGGAAACGTTTCCCTTACACTCTCAAAAGTGCCCCAACAACAATACTGAGCTCCCACATCACAGGAGTTGGAGTTTTTCTATGTAAGCAAAAATAAAGCGTTGAAGCTTTATGAAGCACTCTCCTCAACTCTCCTGATACAGTATATGGAATAACTTAAAAACTATTTCCCTAATGATACTGGATATAAATTCTACTACAATCATGTGTATGCCAGTTCCCGGCATATTTCTGCATCCAGATTCATTAGTCTCCTTAATGGAGCCCATCGTTTTTCCAATGGCTTTCTCCTTTCTCTAAACCCTAACCCTGAAATTCTATAACCAGTTATATCACGTGGCTTCCCTGAGGCACAAAGGTACCAAACTCTATAATTAACTATCGAGGAATGATAAATATGCTCTATTTATATTAAAAGATTTTAATTCTTTGGGGCCACAGTGGGAAAAACCCAGAAAGCTTAATACTCTGCAGTGTGAACTGTAGCCCTTTTTGCAAAAAGCATAACCAAATAAGGAAAATGTTAAGAGTTGCAGCATGCATGACCCGGCAGCACCGATTATTAATAAAAAAATTCCGGACTAGAAAAATATTGTGTTGTAACCCCATTCACTCTGAATCTTTTTTTTTTTTTTTTTTTTGGTAGTAAACAACTGAAAAAAAAAATACCAATGGGAATACATCACTGGGGCCAAACTTCTGGAAATCTATTCACAAGAGGCATTTCGGTCAGGCCGAGATGGGGATAATTGGTCAGTAACTTCCTATGAATGCACATCGGGGAGTGAGACTCACCCTTCAATGTGGTGGCAAGCAAAGCATAAAAACAGAAGTGCCCTCTGAGAGGTGACCTTTTCTGAACTAGATTACTCTACTTGGGTGATTAGAGTTCTTTATTCCTACAAACTGACACTCTCGACTCTGAGAAACAAATCTCATTAGCCAAGATCATAAGAGGATCTGACTAAACGTGGCCAAGATGAACATCGTTTCCTTTTCGAAGACTTGCCCCCGCACTGTGGTGTCTTAGGCAGGTGGGAGGGACCTCACGTGGAGCTGCAAGGACAAGATGTAGCTAGCGCCTTCCAAGAGTTTGAAATTTATTCCCCAAATTTCAACTTCCATTTAGCTATCTGAGTTTGCTAAAAATCAAACTTTTCAGGTTGGAAGGTAATTTTGTTTTGAGGCACATGTTGTATGCAGAACTACCAGACTCCTATATAGTTCTTGAAAATGGAAAATTATATCAGAGCACAACTTTCTGGAAAAAAAGGTTTTTTTTGAGAGGTAAAATCCAGCCTTACTGGATGCTAGACCATTTACCTTACATGATACTTTTAGGGTATCAAGAGTCCTCAAACCACCTTCTAGCTCTATAGTAAGAAAAAGGAGTGTGTGCCTCCTTTACCATTTTGTGAAGCCCAAAGAATCACAGATGGAAAGGACACACTCTATCAGTGAAAGCTAATCACTGGAGACTCTGGCTAAATTGAGAGGCATTTGATGTGTTAGTTAGGCAACTCCATTGCTTTCTTTTCTGTCTGCAGGTAGAGCACGCTGCATAGAACAGGGGAAGCGATCAGTAAGAGGACTGTGGTTGGATTCTCACATCACTTAAAACCTACACCACATCTCAACCTCCACAATAGTCTCCATGGGAAAGTAAAGCTATTTTATAACAGAGGCTGAACTTCTTATATATTAAGTCAAATTAAGCAGCAGCAATCAGGAGTAATATAGCTTACCACTTTAAGGAAAAGGACATTCAAAAATGGGTCAGAACAATTGAAAATAAGCAAAATATTTGCCAGTAGGCAAAACAAGAAAAAACCAATTCAAGTACAGATATAGTATATTAGAACCATATAAATTAGATCTATCTTTACAAAGGTTAAAAAATGTAGTACGGATATGCAGTGGTCAATTTAAGAGGATGTTAGCTTAAATAAATACTTGTCCCATGTGGCAGGGACCCACCATCTCAGCCAGCTCTGTCCTGTAGGATTTCCATTCTGGGAGCAGTGATGCTCCTGGTACCACACAGAATGGGTACCCACGGATTATTATTCCAAGTGAGAGGGAAAAAACAGAGAGGGTTGGAGGGGCTCATCTGAAATTTTGATTTAATTATTCCTCAGTAAACACTCATTTGCTCTCTTGAAATCAGGAATTTCAAATTATCTCTGCAGATGTACCACTTGGTGTTGTGTATATCTAATGATCACATTTAAATGTAGCTTGATTTGCAAACATTTTCAAAACTTCCAGGGCTCTGTAAGCTGCGAGGGAAGGTGACAGATGGCAGAGAGGGAGTAGATAAAAACGCCCGTGTCATTGTGACGTGTTGCTCTTAGGCTCACAGAATTTTGGCTTTCTTTAGGAAGAAAAAAAACAAAACTTATGAAACCTCAATGAGTGGTTTTAAAAAGTAAAATCTCACTTTTAATCGCTCTTAAATCTTAAAACAATTCGGTAAGCAAATAAACTTGGTATTATAGTACCTAGGCCATGTTAACTGCTGCAATAATTACCTTCAGTGAATGGATTTTTAAAAGTTGCTACATTTTAATAAACTGAACAGTTCTGGCCATGCACGATGAGTAGTGGGGGCAAACTATATTAGAAATAACAAAAGGCAAAAAGTTACGGGAAGTTCTTTGTTTGAAATGCCAAGGTATTTGGTGAATGTGTGTATAAAATAAATTCCACCAAAGTTAAAAAGAAAACAGAACAACATATGAACATTCTCTCCCCCAAAAGTAAGAAAAATCAGAAAAAAGCCCCAGATTTCAAAACCACCACCTGTGCCTAAGGTCTCCTGACCATCGATGACATTTTACAGAGCCACCCTTGGGATCTGGTCGAGTCTAGCCTGTTGTATCAAGTATTTCCAGACATCGAACGTCTTCTAGGACACCTACACCCTGCAGCACGGACCGCGGCATATTACGAGCCAATAACTTTTGAATACATTTCTTCATTTGTAAAATATGATTTAAAGTTTTATCCAAGGCTACAAAGGGAAAAAAAGACTTGTTTAAAAACCCAAGGTTGAAATAAAAGCATGGCGCTTCGGTTCAATCATTACAGAGATCATGTGGTTCACCAGGCCGATGTCAAGGACGATGCCGCTGTTTGGTGCGCGCCACACACCACTGGCCTCCGACTCCCGGCGCGGCTCCTCACTACCTCCCCCTCCTCCCAGCCTCGGGCCCCTCCCTTAACAAAACAACACTATAAAAAGGTAAAATCGAGAGTTAGTGGCAAAAATCTTCACAGTAACTTGTTAATGAAGTCGTAGATGGCTGCCAAGGGCATCAGTCGACTGGACCCTGGAAAATTAATTTGATGCAGTTCTGCTCCCCGGCCAGCTGCGTGGCGCAGAAGGGGCAGGCGGCGTGGAACGCGTGGGTGCCGTGCGGCAGCGGGATCTGAGCCCAGTACTTGGCAGACTTCTCCGAGCACACGTGTCCGCACGGGGTGAAGGCGTGTGTCGGCGGTCCCGCGTCCACGTAAAATCCGGCCTCACAGCCGAGCCACAGAGGCACGTAGGGGCCCACAGTCCTGCACATGGGGCACTCCCGCTCGTTGGCCTCCGTGTCGCTGCGGTGGCCCCAGTTGTGGTAGCCGTGCACGTGGCCGCAGCTGAGGTAGGCCCAGGGCTGCTTCTCCTCCACCACCTCCTTCCTGCTGATGCTGGGGAAGGCCAGGGTGTTGAGCCCCACGGGGCACTGCGGCCGCGCCGCGTTGATCTCCTGCCGCAGGGCCTCGATGTGCTTCTGGGTGGGCGCGTGGAAGAGGCCGTCGGCGGTCCGCCAGAGCAGGGTGGCCCCGCACAGGTCGATGAGGGAGCCGTCCTGCAGCACGTTGGTCTCACTTTCCACCTAGAGCAAGTGGACAGACAGGCCTTTAAAAAACACAATCCGGCAAATCGCCGACATTCTCTCGTTTCAAAATAAACACGCCATCTTTGAAGTAAGTACGGGGGTCAGTTTATCGCGCTAAAGACAGGCCCGGGGAGTAACTTACTCTCCCTGAGCCTGTTTCCTCTCTTGAACACTGGACACGCTACACATGCGCCACAACCTGCGCAGCTGGAGGTGTCCTTACTGTGGCAGTAATTTCAGTGAGCACAAATCTCCGTAGATTTTTACTTTTCCTCCGTAAGTCAACAGCACAGTGACCCTCTGATCTCATCAGGGGCCGGAGATGTCCACCCGGTCCTTCCAGGGATGACCACACGTATTTCGCCTCAGCCGATCAGAGACCCCGAGGGGCCCTGCCATCATGACTGCGGTGTCCACGCGGCTCCGGTGACTCCTGGCTTCCAACAACCCACCTTTTACCCTGCACTCCTGAGGCCCGGAGCACAAGTGGTCAGTGGGAGCCTTCACTTTGGGAGGATGGCTGGGGGCTGGGCTAAGCACCGAGGTGCTCACAAGACTGACAGCTGACAAGCACAGTTGGGTCAGCAGGAATCTGACCGCTGCCTCAGCCGGGGCATGTGCTCAAGGCTCGGGGTGCAAAACCAATACAACCTCACCCCCACCCGGAAGAGCCTTGTTCCTTAGCAGTGGGAGCCACACAGGCTCCAGCTAAAGGCCAGTAAGGTGTTGCAAGTGCTATGTGAGGCCACATCACAGCAGTCCCAATGGGCACTCTGCCAGGCTCTGAATCTAGGCTCTGTCACTTTCTAGCTCTGCGACCTTGAGTCCCAGTGTGCCAGTTTCCTCTTCTGTAGAATGCAGATGAGGGGATTGTGAGGGCTAAAAAGTCATTGCAAGTAAAGTGCTTGGAACAATGTCTGGCATGCAGTGAGCACTGTGTAAATGTTTGCTCCCGTTACTCTGATGATGGCAAAGTCAGAAATGGTTTTTAAAGGGTTTTCCTTGAACAGAGGTTTGAAAAAGATGTAGTTAGGAGTCAGCAGGTGGGAGAGGAGGCACACCAGGAGAAGGCAGGAGAAGGCCAAACACCATGTGCATTGTGGAACAAGGGGTTCAACAAGGTTCAACAGGCAGTTGAACATGGCTGGATGGGGCACAGGGCGTTGGGGGGGCAGAACAGGAGTTCCAGGGTGGAGAGGTCGGTTGGCCTCAGTGCCCAAAGGGTGTCCCTGGGCAGTTTTAGGAAGTTATAAAACAACGATTTGCCTTTCCAAAAGGTCCCTTCCAGAAGTGGAGGCCGGACTGATGGGTGTAACTGGAAGTGGAAACAGTGGGAGCTCCCTCTCCAGGCAAAGAGCGTGGGCGCAGCTCAGCAAAGAGAGTATCGGTGGCACAGATGTTAAATGTGGAGGAACTGGACTCACAGCCCTCAGCTCCGATTCACCAAGAAAGGCTTCTACGTATCTGGCTTCACTGTCTATAGAGAATGGGGCTTTCCGGGGACAGATGATCTACAGCAGCGGTTCTCAACCTGTGGGGTCGCGACCCCTTTGGGGGTTGAACGACCCTTTCACGGGGGTCGCCTAAGACCATCGGAAAACACATATAATTACATATTGTTTTTGTGATTAATCAGTATGCTTTATGTTCCATTTGTAACAATGAAAATACATCCCGCATATCAGATATTTACATTATGATTCGTAACAGTAGCAAAATTACAGTTATGAAGTAGCAATGAAAATAATTTTATGGTTGGGGGTCACCACAACATGAGGAACTGTATTAAAGGGTCGTGGCATTAGGAAGGTTGAGAACCACTGCTCTAGAAGAAATGGCAGATTTGGGGGGAAAGATAGTAAGGTCAGTTTTGGGTGTGTGGTTTTGGGTTGTGCAAAGTGTCTATAATGCAATGCACAGAAGGCCGGTGTGGCTCAGAGAAGCACATCTGGGATTTATCATCATCTAGGTGAAGCCCTGGAGTGGACGAGACTACCCACCGGGGTCCCTGGGAGGGCAGGAGGTCAAGGACAGAGCCAGGGTACCCCCCACTAAGGCTGGGGTGCAGGAAACGAACCATGTAAGGAGAAGAGAGGATGGGGAAGATCAGAAATTCTGTCATTCTCTGGCTTAAAGGACTGTGCTGGCTCTCCATTGCCATCAGGATGAAGCCCAAACTTCTAACCTTCACAATATGGCCACTCGACTTCAGCTGCTGCAGCTCGCAGTAAAACAGGGCTGCCTGTGATGAGTGCACGCAGTTCAAGTCTATGGATGCATTGAACTGGATTGCCCACAGGCATGCGCACCAGTGCTGAGTAGCACTCTCCATCACACCCCACCCCATGTTTATCCCTCGCTTGGGGAACTCCCACTCATCATTCAGGTCTTGCTGGGAGGTCGCTGATTCAGAATGCAGCCTGTGGCTTGCCTTCGGAACCATAGTGGCTGCCCACACAGTGGCCTGTTTTCTTCCTATCTGTACTCTCTTATGTGCTACCTTTATCTATGAACAAAATGTGTAGCTTTTCTCTAGAATACAGTGTGGGGGGTAGAATGGGGAAGATACCACTGTGCAGAGGCAAGGGTTTGGATTTTATTTTTTAAACTAGAGACCCAGTGCACGAAATTCATGCACGGGTAGGGTCCCTAAGCCTGGCCAGCGATCAGGGCTGATTGGGGCCTTCCTTCCCCCAGTTGCCAGTGGGGTCTTCCTGTGTTCCGTGCTGCCCCTTGATGGTCAGCACATATCATAGTAAGTGATCAAACTCCTAGTTGGTCGAACTCCCAAGGGGACAATTTGCATATTAGCTTTTTATTATATAGGATTCTACAAAAGGGGGACAAGGAGAAGGCACAAGGAATAGACAGGGTTGTGGAAGTGAGAGATAGTTAAAACCTACAGGCCCTGAAATATCAGATGGCTAAACTTAGAAAACAGAATTGAAAGCCCTATCCTCCACCTGTAGCAAGTGACAACCTTTTAAAGCCTGGTTTCCTCGTCTGTAAATAGTAACAATACTGACCTCCTAGGGCTGCTTTGAGTGATGTCTGAGAGAGAATTAACACAGAGCATTTGGTACAGCCTATGCGTAGTAACACTATGGTTATTTGTTATTTTTAATCCTTGCATCCATGAGGATGGAGGAGGTGCTTAGATAGAGGAAGGGAAAGAGAAAGAGAGAGATATACATGTGAGAGAAAACATGGATCAGCTGCCTTCCATACATGCCTTCACCAGGGGTTGAACGCACAACCCAGATATGTGCCCTGACTGGGAATTGAACCTGCAACCTTTCAGTGCACAGGATAAAGCTCAACTGACTCAGCCACTGTGGCTGGGCAACAATATGGGTATTTTTATAATTTCACCTAGAATTAGGTAAGCAAATCAACTTAACTGAATTTACCTAATTTTACAGAAAGCCAATATAGTGTAATCAATACTTGAGTCTACTAGAGCAGTATTATAAATGTTACCATGTTATCATTAATTAGGTAAATGAGTAAGACACAATTCACAGTTCATTCGCCTATTTATTTACTCAGGGGTTTCAGCTCCTGAAAAAATATTTCCCCCACACTTAATTCAAGTACCAAAGGCTCATCATGTGCTATAATAATGAGCAACTGTGGTGACTTGTTAAAAACATGCTAGTAAACTGATTCACATTAAACACTGAGTATGATGTTAATACAAAACCCTCCACCAGGAGGCAAAGACTGCTGTCATAACAAATATTCTGGACTTTCAGCTGACCATCTTAGTTCAATATTTCCATATTAAATTACAAATGCTATTTCAAGACACACAATTTCTATCAACTGCTACTGGTAACACGTATGGGACCAGAGTGTCACACACTGGAATGGAAGTGCAAAGGATCAGCAGGCTTTCTTCTTGGAGAGAGACAAACTGCTCTCCAAGTTCTCAAGTGGGGATCGCAGGAGGATGTCCCTTCATCCCCACAGTGTCACCCAAAAGTCCAAGACCAGACTGACAGAAACTGGAAACCTTTACTGTTGGCTGGGTCAGTGATATACTACCAGACAGTACAGCACAGCTTTACGTAGGTCTCAGGGTCACTTCCAGGGAAAACTAACATTAGTCTATATTAACATACTTTGGAGTTGTCTCTGGCACACTATAGCATGTAAGCTGGGTCACTACACAATTTCCAGAGTGGGCAAGACACGCATCCCGGGTATGGCCTCTGGGATAAACAAGCCCTTTTGTGGATTGCTACAAATGCTTTACATTTGCCCAGGAGGCAAATGCTCTGATGACCATCTCAGATGAGAGCCAGATGTGACTCCTCACAAGACGGTACTGAGTGATGGCCAGGAGTCCAGACTCTCAAACAGGGGGAACCAAGTTTCCATCCAATCTACTGCCACCTTCTAACTCTGTGACATTGGGCAATATTTACTGTATTTTTCCATGCATAAGACGCACCCCACTTTTCCAACCCCAAATTAAGAAATCAATATTTTAAACATTTTGCTGGTTTTCCTCTTAACGCCCTCTTCTTTTTTGGCATCTTAAGGAGTTGTTCTTCCTGTTTTCTCCACTGTCTGATCACACACTCAGTGGGAGGAGGTCCAAATTGTCTCTCTGCAGCTCTAGTTCCATGCTCTTTTGCATAGCTGAGCACATTCAGTTTGAATTTTGCAGAGTAAGACAATCACTTACAGGTATTTATCTTTTTTTTTTTCTTTTTTGACATCTTTATGGGCTCAGAATGCTCCAGTCTCTGTTGCATCTGCACACTCTCCACCTCCACCTCCACCTCCAATTACAGCACCAGCTGACGTCACTAACAATAAGGCTCATGATTGGAGGAAGCCTGTTTGACAAGGTATAGGCAGCTATGCACCTGCAAGACTCCCTCCTTGTCTGACTTCTGTGTATAAGACGCCCCTCGATTTTCAGTCTAACAATTTTAGAAAAAGTATCTTATACATGGAAAAATACAGTGACCTCTCTACTCCACACCTTCCTCACCCATAAAAGGGGGACAATTCCACTTCCCTGACAAGGCTGCTGTCAAGATTAAATTAGGAGCTAATGATGTCTCTGAAATGTTAATGCAGTGCCTGCACCCAGCAATCTTTCATTGACTTCTCACTGTTGCTGTTAGAATGAGTAATAACCAGGATGGCCAACATAGGTCAGTGTTGTGTAACACTATCTGGTGATCAGAGACAAAAAGTTATTTGGAAAAACTGCTGTAACATTTTCTTCCCTATTTATAATCTCTTTAAAAGCATTTAGACAAAGTTTATTAAATTTGCTTGGCCTCTCTTAAAAAACACTTCTCATATTTACTCAGCCATGATGTTCCAAGACTGGGCTTTACCATCAAAGCAGTTGTACCTGTAGCTGAGTGATGGTATAAAAATAGAAACTTAAAAAATTCCCTGCCGAAACCGTTTGGCTCAGTGGATAGAGCGTCGGCCTGCGGACTGAGGGGTCCCAGGTTCGATTCCGGTCAAGGGCATGTACCTGGGTTGCGGGCACATCCCCAGTGGGAGATGTGCAGGAGGCGGCTGATCGATGTTTCTCTCCCATTGATGTTTCTAACTCTCTATCTCTCTCCCTTCCTCTCTGTAAAAAATCAATAAAATATATTTTTTAAAAAATTCCCTAATAATAAATAGCAAGGAGAGAAAAGTCAGGTTAGTAAAATACCCCCCCCCCCCCCAATCTTCGTTTTCCAGTTTAAAAATATTTGGTTATCATCTTTCTCTCTGAAAAATGCTGGATCATTCCTTTATTTCCCTATGTTTTTTCTATGGGAATTTTGAAGAAAGCATTTATTCTCTCTTGTTCTAGCTTCTAACTAACAACTAATTGAAAGTACTGAAGTGAAATATTTATTGAGAACCTTTAGATGATTGGATGAGAAAGGAAGAAGAAGGAGGAGGGAGGAGGAGGGAGGAGGAGGGAGGAGAAGAAGGAGAAGAAAGAAGAAGAAAGAAGAAAGAAGAAAGAAGAAAGAAGAAGGAAGAAGGAAGAAGGAAGAAGGAAGAAGGAAGAAGGAGGAAGAAGAAGAAGAAGAAATAGAAATTTTTACCTTTTGCAACAGCATGGTTGGACCTGGAAATTATTATGCTAAGTGAAGCAAGGCATTCAGAGAGAGACAAATGCCATACGATCTCATATGTGGACTCCAGTCAACAAAATACTTAACAAACAAAATAGAAACAGAAGCATAGATACACAGAGCAAACTGACATCTGTCAGAGAAAAGAGGGTTTGGGACGCTGGGTGATAACAGGTGAAGGGATTAAGCAAAATATATATATATGTGTGTGTGTGTATATATATATGTATATATATGACACATAGACATGGACAACAGTGTGGGGCTAGCCAGAGGGGAAGGTGGGTGGGGGAGGTGGATATGGGCAAAGGGGGGATAAATGGGGACAGAAAGAGACTTGACTTTGGGTGATCAGCGCACGATGCAGTGTGATGTTTTATTAAGTTTTACACTTGAAACCAATGTCACCCAAATAAATTCAATTTAAAAAACCTTATACGCTGTGCCTCATAGCTGCGGCAAGATCAGAAACCCAAAGCTTCTCCTTCAAGGTATTACAATCATTCTCCATAGAAGAAAGGGTTAAAGAACCAACTGCTTTAGGGCATTTGGGGTAAGTAATAATAGTTCTTGGAAAATATTAGCATGCCAAGTCAATGCACATATGACTTATTTCAAATAAAAAGCTATAACTACGATTCTGGTGAGTTATATAGGGAATTATGTATTAATTTCTTGTTACAAACTCAAAAAAAGCTAATTATCTTTTAGTTCCAGAAGGTCTAGTAAATAATTCTGTAAATCAAAATTTTCACTAATTAGTCTTAGACTGTTTAAGTTTTTTTCTCCAAGTTAGTAAAGTTTTACACTAAAAATAAGTTTATTCTTCGTGAATGTAAGTGGAATTTTGTGGTGAAGGATATTATAAATGATTATGCTTTTAAGGTTGGATGGGGCAGCAGAATTCTCAGCCTCCTGGGCCAGTGGTACCCAGCACGTGTACCTGTACAAAGCTGAATTTCGGGGAGGAAAGCGACAGTCCTCGAGTTAGGTTTCTGTAGCCGGTTGCATTTTTTCATAGTGGAGTCTACTCACCAGCTTTCCCCTCTGCTGGGCTGACCTGGTTTCTCGCAAGGTGTACACATCTCCGCAGACGGAGATCTCGCGCCAGACCCCGGGCTGGGACTCCTCAGTGAAGCCCCCTCTGGGGTGCATCACCAGGACCCCATTTGTAGTGAGCCCGTCCATGTGGCCATCGGGGTTTTTCCATTTTGCTGCCTTTTCCTGGAGAATAGAGAAAGCATGCTAAATGAAGGGATTCCAGAATCTCTTTAAAATATTGGGTAGGTGCGGAGGGGATGGAAGTGGTGAATTTTTGATTTAAAGTGAGTCAGAATAAAATGTCCAGTTAGCCCAACAATATGGAAGAAGTGGTAAAATGGATGAATAATTTCTCTCCAGAGACACATTATATTTATCTCAGGAGCTTAAAAACAAACAACCTGAAGCCTGGGCCTCTCCCTCACAGGTTCTTTTTCACAACCCACCCTCCTCCCTCCAGGTGATTCCAGAATCTTCTGTTTATTTGTGCAGTGCTTTCTTCTCATCATCTAAAGATGCGTTGTATGAACTCATTATCAGGGAAATGCGCAGAGGAGGGGAAAACATTTCTATTAAACATACAAAATTTCAACAAATGTGAAGCCAACAATATGCGGCCACTATGTTTTCATATGCATCAGTGCAGAGGATGTGGGTGGAAGGCTCAGCAGCTTGTTGTAATGGCAGGACAGACACCTGGACACCTGTGCTGCAGGGATTTGGCTCCTCTCTCTTGATGCGGATATTGCTCACATGACTTAGGGGAAAATCCTGAGTACAATAAGCCAGGTCTGATGATTCCAACCCCTTGCTAATGGCTGGTTTAGGGGTGGGCATGTGGCGGATCTGGCCAGTGGGACCTGACTGAGTCTTCTGGGAGGCTGCCTGGAAAAATTTCTAGTAAAAGAGACAAGAGACAAGGGATAAACTGCCTCTGCCACCTCTTCTTCGGCCAGAAGCTGCCGTGCGGCAGGGGTATGTGGTAATGCAGCAGCATCTCTCACCCATGGGAAGACCTCGCCCAGAAGCTAATGTACCCAGAGGGAGAGGGCAAGACAGAAAGACACTGGTTCCTGGGATGTCACAGAACCGCTGAACCAAGCAACCCTGCAGTTGGCCTTGCTCGGCATTTCCTGTAATGTGGGATAATACAATTTTATTATGGTTTAGGCCATTTTGAGTGTTTTTATTTTCCCTACAAAAAATATCCTGATTCAAAAAAGGAACTATATGGGCCGGCCGGTTTAGCTCAGTGGTTGAGCATCGACCTGTGAACCGGAAGTCACGGTTTGATTCCCAGTCGGGCCATATGCCTGGTGCCCAGGTTGCAGGCTCAATCTCCAGTATGGGGCCTGTAGGAGGCAGCCAATCAATGATTCTCTCTCATCATTGATGTTTCTACCTTTCTCTCTCCCTTTCACTTCCTCTCTGAAAACTGGATATTCACTAAAACCTTTGGATTTAATTTACATGGAACCCTATGAAGGCAGAAATTTTAATGTTTTGTTCTCTGTGATATCACATCTATAACCGAATATACAGCAAACACTCAATTTCAGAAAGAATGAATAATTGACATTTTCCTTTGAACTCTATCTAGATTTGACCATTTATTTTCCCTATAAAATAAACCCCCTTAAAACTATCATAAATACATTACGCAAAATGTTAAGATATACTTTAAAAATTAATTCCTATACATACTGTAATTATTATAGCAAATAAAACAAGTAATGGTGATTATTTTCAGATTTTTAATAACAGCTTTTCAAACTGGCCATCTGAAAATTAAAATCTCAAAATTTAAGTAGAGGCATCACGTAAAATACATTTTTTGGTCACAATTATATGTCATATATGATAATAATGGGTGCTTTTCTTTTTCTTTTTTTATTGATTTCAGAGAGAAAGGAAAAGACAGATAAAGAGAAAGAGAGAGAGGAAGGGAAAGAGAGAAAGAGAGAGAGAGAGAGAGAGAGAGAGAGAGAGAGAGAGAGAGAAAGAGAAACATCAATGATGACAGAGAATCATTGATCGCTGCCTCCTACAGGCCCCACACTGGGGATCGAGCCCACAACCTGGGCATGTGCCCTGACTGGAAATCAAACCATGACCTCCTGGTTCACAGGTCAATGCTCAACCACTGAGCAACACTGGCCAGACAGTGGGTGCTTGTCTTGAAACAAAGTACTGAATAGTACTTACTCCAAGAAATATGTTTTTGGAAGAATCGAATCCAGCTGCGAATATCCGTGCTGTATAAGGCTCATTCCTGTCACAGACAATCCTGCAGGCAAACCTGGATATGGTGCTTTGTGTGATCTGCGCTTCGTCACTGTTCTGACCGCCGGAAACTGTGTCTGTGACGACGAAGTCGATGGGGCTCTCGGTTGATCTGCCCACCTGAGTAAATAAAAGCACTGATAGCTCACTTGAAAAATATGTCATCATATTTTGCTCAAATGGAGTGAGAGTTCAGGATCCCTTTAACATTCCTTATCTCTGCTCTGAAGGTCAGAATTTAAGGGAAAAGAAGAGCCCTAACCCAGACCTAAGATCAAAAACCTGTTACCATTCCTCAGTGTAAGGAGGATGTAAAGGGCTAGTCAAGTCAGCCGAAGTTTGGATGCAGTCAAATGAAAGATTTAAAAAGCTGGTTATAATATTTCAATTTGGGATTTTAAAAAAATTCTCTTGGGAAAGTCTAAAAAGTTGCCAATAATATTATATTGGCTTTCTTTCTTTGGTTAAGTTTAAATGCTGTCAAAAAGCATATATTTCATTGGCCAGATCTTACAGTTCTAATAAAGCTTTTCATATTCAATAAATCCAAATAAGACAGGAATTGTTCTGTCCTGTGAACAGAAGTGTTTGTTTACAAATAAGGAAATCTCAAGACAAAATAGTAAAATGTTTATGTAATGATTTTCTATGGATCTCTACTGGAAAACGGTGATGATATATATGCCCAAGAGACTTCTTAACTTAAAATCACTTATATGTAAGTGAATAATCTCTTGCTAAACATATTAATGCTCTAACAATAGTGACTTTGATTCAGAAGCTGCCAACGGGAGGAACACAAATGTGTACATGTAAGATCCCCAAAAGGAAATTTCCCAGAAATCTTTATCTGGATCTCAAAATTCTACCTAAAATATAAGCAATGTAATACACTTTTTATCCAAATGCATAAAAGGGAAGGTATTAATATATATTGCATAATTTAGCTCTGCTTGCTTCCTGGAACAATATTAAATTTCTTTTGTAAGTCTCACATATATATTCTCATGCATAGACTATCGCAAACCAACCAACAATAGATATCTCTTTTCTCCTGTATTTTTTTTTTTTTTTTTTTTTACAAACCTTAATTTCTTGTCCTAATGAAATGTGCCTGGAATAAACTAAACCACTGGGCTCACGGAAATTCATCAACTTAACTAGATACATATTGCCTGAATGTATGCATTTCAGGTTTAGAAAACCTGTAACTTGTTTAAAAATGCAACATAAAATGTAAATTAGAGGTATTACAAAATCATATCATCATACAGTTCATCTTTCTGAAGTGGCAGGCTCTCCTCTCTGCTAGATTCATTTAAAAGCTGGGCATGTAACTCAGAAGTTCTGATTCAGACCACTCTAATTTTTTTAAAGTCCCTTTTAAGTCTATTTTCTTAGCTACTTTCAAGTATATAATCAACATTATTAACTATAATCACCATGTGGTATATTGAATCCCCAGAACTTACTCATCTTACATCTGGAAGTTTATACTGTTTGACCAACATCTCTACCAAACCCCCTCCTCCATCCTCAGCCCCTGGAAACCACCATTCTGAACTCTGTTTCTATGATTTTTATTTTTTTAAAGATTATACATGTAAGTGATATTATATAGTTTTTGTCTTTCTCTGACTTATTTCACTTTAAAATACTTTTATTCAATTAAAGAAGTAAAAAATACTTATGCAAAATATTTCACAAATATAGGAAAGCATAAAGGAGAAAATAAAGGCTACTCCAAACTCAGAAACAAACCCATCCTGAACCTCTATTCCAATGAAGCTTAGAAAATGTGAAAAGTTCTAAAACTGCCTGGTCACCACACAAAACCAGAGTTCTCATAACAACACAGTCTCTGACCTTATTTGTCACCTCCATGCCTTTTTAAGTTGTTACAAGTTCAAAGCTAAAACCACGCTCCAATAGAATGTCACACAACTGCTCCTTGTCTACAGCGATTATTCTCTTCAAGAAAGGCCATTCTGATCTCATCCCAAGGTATTAAATTAATGTCTTGATGAATTAACTGAAATTGACTGTAATACATGACATTTTATTTCAGCTGGAACATACTGCTAGGATCAATTATTTCAAGTCATGATACTTATCTGACTGGTCATATAAGATTTGTTTATCAATTCGCTTCCACTTAAAACTAACCTGCAGAGCTCGAGTATAATCTTACTAGAGGCCTGATGCACGAAATTGGTGCAAGAGTAGGTCTTCCTTCCTCCACAGCTGCCAGCACCGGCTTCCTTCCCTCTGGCACCTGGGACCCGGGCTTCCCTTGCAGCCCCAACTTCGTCCGGAAGTACATCTGGTCTAATTAGCATATTATGCTTTTATTATTAATATACTATAGAACACAAACTTCAGGGGGCTTTTGTCAGGAAAAAAATTGAGCCACTATCCTATTGAAAACTCACCCACTGTGGAAAAACTTGGTCCTGTTCTTTCTTTTGTTTATTGGATCAACTTTACATTATTTCATGTAGACAAGCCAAGATATTCATATAGTGCTGATATTCATACAGTAGCCACATGGAGAACTTTAATCCTTACTACTGATACAGACACAGCATTGTTCAGCACTTTACATTTTAATATACCTAGAAGAGTTTGGGTTTGCTTGCCAGTCGAAGTCAGTAATCTGAAAGGGCCTCCCTCACATTTCCCAGACCAACCCTTCCCACGTCCCTGCACCTGTAACGTTATTTGGCTTCCCTCCTAAGACAAGAATGACATATTGCTGCTGCTATTCAGGACCCATCTCTCCACGGATGCATGAGATCCCAATGTTCTCAGCCTCCTAAGGATTTTGCTCCCAATATTTGCTCCTGCCACCCCTCTCTCCTGCATCATCAATTTCTCTCTGGAGACTGGATCATGCCAGCTACCATACACACCCTGGAGCTTCTCAAACTGTGCCTCCTTGGAGGAAAGAACAAGTTTTTTTGTTTTGTAAATTTCAACTTGCCACTGATACCTTATAAAAATACAATAACATGAGTATTAGAAATGATCACCCATTCCGATGCTTCAGGAATACCAAACTGCTGTAACAGCTTCCAATTTCCTACTCATCTTGCTCTGTGTTACCCTCGGTTCTCAAACAGCTCCAATCTTGAACAATTCGGTTCTTGACCAAGTTTTTCATAAAAAAATGTCTTGGTTGACCAAAACCTTCAGTTTTCCACCTGACAACCCTTTTGTGCTGATACCTCAGCATGATAAAAAGCATCTCTCAGGCAACAAACAAAGGAGAGAATGCTTTTGTTGCTGGCCCATATACAAAATATACTATTAGCACAATTAAAACATAAAGAGGCCATCAAGAGTGCTAATGTTGCTAAGGGTGTGAAAATGCTCATGAAACAACAACTGCAGGCAATTGAATAGGTAGAAAAACTGCTGTTGACTGGATCAAGGAAAAGCAATTAGCTAGTGGTAGCATTTCTGAGGCAGTGATATATGAAAAATTCGTTTAAAGCTAGTAGTGGGTAGTTTGATAAATTTAAGAAGTATTTATAAATTAAACAGTAAATTAGACATGTAGTGTATATAAGAAAGGTTAAAATTGAATCATTTGGGGGTCTGGAACAGATTAATACAACTAATGGGAAAAAAATGATTCGGTTTTCAAACACATCGCTTCTCAAACAGCCTTCAGGAACAAATTAAGTTTGAGAAACGAGGTGCCAGTTACTGTTAACAGACTTTTTGCTGCTCTGCCCAGGAGTTTGAGTAGCACTGTTCTTGTCTCTTGTCTTTAAAAAACACTTTCCTTTGCCAGCAGGCAACCCTCAAACTATTACCTCATTTCTGATTCATTTAACAGCAATACTTCTTGAAAAACTCCTCACTAGTTACTGCTTCCATTTCCTTACTCATTCCCTTAACATCTCTCCTCAATCCACTGCAACTGAGCTTCTCTCCCAAGGCTCTTGCGGAAGTTTCAAGGGCTTATAGTCAGCCAGCATATCTGACACATTTGTACCTGGCATTCAAATAATGAAACCCCTCTAGGCTAGTTGGTAAATAGCTCCCTTTCCTTCTCCTTTTGTTCTCTCCCTGGGTAATCTAATCAAATCCCAGCTATTAGCCGCAAAGCCCTGATCTCTCCCCCAGGGTTCAGACTAGCACACCCAGTGCACACACTGGATGTCTAATAAGCATATCAAATGTAACATGTTCCAAACAGAACCTAGGTCCCTCTTAGACCTTGGATTCCCTATGTCAATGATTGGCATCCAATTTGCTCAAGCTAAAAATCAATAACCAAGAATTATCCTTGATTCCTTCATCCACACCTATGTTTAATCTTATTGAAATCCTGTCCACACTACCTCCAAAACACATTTTTCCTCATCTTTGTTTCAGGTACCACCAGCTCTTACTTGGATTGCATTACCTTGGCTTCCAAACTGGTTTTCCAGTTTCACACTGGCCTCCTACATTCTCCTCTACAGAAAGTAGCTGGAGCTATCTTTTAAAAACATAAATCAGATTATAACTCTCTCTTACTTAAAATCCTCCAACAGCTTCTTCCAAACTCCTAGAATAAAACCCAAGTTCTCTACTTGGCCTAAAGGCCCTACCTCTCCCCGCCTCTGCCTGCCTTTCCAAGGTCATCTCAGGTCATTTCCCTCCTCCTTCACTCTGCTCCTACCCTGAGGCCTTGGCCTTCTGCCTGAATGCCTGCTTGTTTGTGGTCTATTTGCCTCCTCTAGAATGTAGGCTCCATGAGAGGTAGCCATAGTGGTCTATGTTCAGGAACTAGGTGAGTTTCTGACACACAGTAGGCACTCATGAAATGCAACTGTGAATAGAGGATTATGGCAGTGAGCTTGAGCACTGTGAAATAAACACACTCACACCTTTTAAGAAATAACTATTGAAAAAATAGTGTTATTCTTAAACATTTTCCTCAACTATATAGATGCTAATGTTACCATCAAAAACTACTAAGATATTCAGTAGAATGAAAAAAAAATATTGGGAATATTATAAAATAAAATGGCATGAAGAGTAAAACCACTTACTATTTTGTCTGAATTTGATAAATCTTACTTTTGAGTTCAAACTAGCACTTAAATAACTATGTCTATACCTATGACTATGACTATAATGATGGCTCTATCTACCCATAATTGTTTAGTCATCTTACAAGACAGCTAACACATTAACATGGTTCAAGAAATAAAAAAGTATGAAATACCTCCCTGTATATCACCTGCCTATCCCTCTTCCCCAAAGGCAACTGCTTTACTTACTGCATATAAGCATTATTTAAACATTTAATAATACTTATTTAATATTTAATGATTAATATGCTATTTACAATTTAATATATTTAATATTATTTACTTTACTAACATTCAACATTAATCTTAACTAAATATAATGCTATCAATGACTCAATAAAAATATATTTAATAGTATTAATATTTAATTCTTTAAATATGTTTGGAACTCTTTCTGTGACTGCTTATTCTGTTTTATAGTCTTGGAGGCCCCGACTATATCCCCAAATTCACGGAACTGGTCCCCTACTAAAGTATATTTAGGTTGTTTGTAATCTTTTGTTAGTAAACCATGTGTCAAGCAGAAACTTGATAAAAATATCATTTTGTAAGTATGCAGGGCTATCTCTGAGGTAAATCTCTAGGAAGAAAAGAGCTTTAGGAGAAGAGCTAAGTCTAAGAGTGTAAACATTTTGTATTTTTCATAGTTATTTCCAAATCACCATCCCATAGAGATCATACCAATTTATCGCATGTAGAAGCCTGCCTCCCACATCTTTGACAAAACCTTTTGGATTTTTGCCAGTCTGATAAATTGAGCATATTTTCTTATTTGCAAGAGTTATTTTAATCCTTTTTGATGTATCTATGATACTTTTTTTTGACATTTGTTTCAACATCATTTAATAATTTAACTCTCCATATATAAATGCAAAGCCCATGGTTTCCAATTTGTGTTTGCTTTATTTGTTTTTTTAAATTAGCCTTGATTTTAATTTTCTGTTGTTTTAAAGTACCAAATCTTGGATATAGTAATCCTCTTTTTAAACTAATGATAATTTTTTTCCCCTTTATTACTTCCTTCCTCCTACTTTCTTTTGATGTATTTCTGGACATTCTAATATATATCACTAGAACTTTTCCTGAACCTCTACTTTCTTAGTGTCATTTTTTTAAACAGAACTTTTTGAGATAAATGTTCAATTCCCTGGCCCTTTGATCCTCTCTTCTTCCCTCCCTTGCTTCCTCCCTTCCAAATAATAAAAGCACTTAAGTTTTTACATTTCTTTTGAGTATGCTGTCAGTCATATCAAATGAGTTTTGCTATATAATGTTCCCAGTTGTTTTTTAAAAAGGCCTAAAATTGTATGTTTGATGTCACCTTTCATTCAAGTGTTATGCAGGAAGTATTTTAAACATGTTGACTTTTAAAAGTAGCTGGCTATAAAAATTTTATTCTTGTTATTAAAGTCTATTTTTATTACATTGAGATCTGAGAATGTAGCCTTTATACTTCCTTCTGCAGTTTTAGAATTAAGTTTTCTTAGTCTCTCAAACACCAATCAGGAATAATCCTCACCTCTTTCCCCTTGGGTATCACTAAAAGCTAATGTGCTAGAAGGTCTGATCACATATCAAAATATAGAACTGAAGGAATAATGTCCTAAAATTTCCACTAAAAAGAAACATGTTACCTGAAACATATCCGTATCTTTATCGTGTGTATATTCGACCACCACAGTCTGATTCCTTGACAGAGTATATGATATACTGTGTTGACCTTTGCAGCTGATTGCCTAATAATGAAATAGAAAAAATAAAAATTCGTTAAAATTTCATTTCAACAACTTACTCACAATTCAGTTTGTAGTAGAGACATCATTCTACCAGCAAAACCCAACGCGAGTCAGCATTTTCCTAACACTTAGAGCCTGTCCCTGTGCTGTGCCCTGATTCAGAGCACTCAATAGTCGAAATTCTGGTGTTACCCAATATTATATCTTAATATGAAAAATATTTGTTATTTCAATTCAAAGCTAATTTACTAGTTTGCAAGTCTTGATTTAATCATAGTCCAGTAAACATCCACTTTCTGTTACCTTAACTCAGTGATAAAATTTTAGACTAATATGATTGATTTACAATTTTAAAACTTTTTTCACACCACATAGGTAAGTCAATAACATTTTTATAGTATTTTCCTATGTAAGAGAGATTATAATTATAGTAAAGATTCACTGAAAAAATTAATGTTCTGTAAGAATTTCTATATAGTAATGTACTTGTCTAGCTGATAATCGTATTTATACTGTTCTACATCTTATTTAAATCTTCTATAAAGCAGTTGCTTAACCCAGATAACTATTGAATTAATAAATAGGGTAGCTACGCTGGCTTTATCTTTATATTTTTAGACTAAAGTTAATAGTCTTATTCAAAAAATCTAGAAACCAATAATACAATATTGTTCTTATTTCCCCCATAATGATATATTTGAATACATCTTAAGTTGTGGTCGCATACTTTTATATTTCCAAATTAACAACAAAGTTTACTTAAATTGTACTTCAAATTATCCCAATGACATTTTATCCATTCTGCTTTATCTTCATCTCCACTCCTTTACAGTAAGTACAATAGAGCTTTCATAAGCCCACCTACTAGACACTTACTGGAGATGGTACTGTCTGAAGGTCAGGAAAGCATGTGGAAGTAGCTGGACACACAGGGCGTGCCACTGAAAATGTCTGAGCATGTATATATGGCTCACATAACTGCTTAGAGTAATAAATAGTGTGACATTCCAAATCAAGTTAGACGTTAGCCTGGTCCATCTCATGCTTATTTAATCAGGTGCCCTGAGAAACTGCATGGCCAAACTGATGTTCTTTTGTATGTTCTTCATTAAGATAATATTAAGCATTAAAAATAAAAATAAAAATATTTTATATGAGCAGGAACCTAAAAAATACTTCTTATACTACTCCACTTCAGCAACAAATATAATCTTAAATTTTTATTGGTATGAATCAGATAAATTCAATGGTATTGATAAAATGACATTTTTTGAAAGTCAAATTAATATAGCACTATTTCCAATTTAAGATGAGTTGATGTTTATCTTTATAGTTAAGTGACAAAAATCCATTTTAAGAAAAATAACTTTATTAAACTCAAACTGACAAAACTAATAACCAGGGAGTATGTATACAATAATTTATTTTAGGATTTTTAAAAAAGTGTTTATTGCATTTACAAGTATTCAATTTACAAATGAATCAACTAAAACATAACTTTCTTGGCACACATGCTACATAAAACAAGAATGTCTGGCCCTAACCGGTTTAGCTCAGTGGATAGAGCGTCGGCCTGAGGACTGAAGGGTCCCGGGTTCGATTCTGGTCAAGGGCATGTACCTTGGTTGCGGGCACATTCCCAGTAGGGGGCGTGCAGGAGGCAGCTGATCGATGTTTCTCTCTCATCAATGTTTCTGACTCTCTATCCCTCTCCCTTCCTCTGTAAAAAAAATCAATAAAATACTGACCCACTGGTGCCGTCTGGGACAGCAGCCCTGAAGTGAAACTCTTCATGCGTAAAACTTCCTACCTTAAATTATAAACTTTGTACTCTACCCTGTAGCATTGTAATTATAACATTTAAACAGGTCTTCCAAATTTGCTGGGACATTGGTGCCCCAAGTAGACTTGCTGTACTCACCCCCATGACCTCACACAGCCTGGCACCCCTCCCCCCCAGCCCCCTGCCACTCTGGCAGGCACCAGAAATAGCCCTTTTATAGACTCTAAGTTGTTATTGACCCAATTCTTCTAAGGTGTTTTATTCTAAAATTATTCTTCTGATTTGAGCTATTATATGCCTATGAAACATATTAAAAAGTCTATTTATAGGAAGTGGAGCCAATCTGGGAAATGCCCATAGCAAAGAGAAACTCAGAGATGTAGGTGAACCCCTGCTGGCCAACCCCAAACAGGGAAGAAAGCTCAGGGACTCTGAGGTCTTGAATGCCTGACCCAGGATACCCTGAATATTGAGCCCATTAAAGAAAGTTTATAATTTCAAACTTCTGCCAGGCTTTTTGTTTTTTTTAAATATGGCTAAACCTGAATCACCAGGGTTAGGAAAGGTGGGTGATTTGGGGTTAGAAAAACACCTTTCTGAGACTTTGTGATTAAGGAAGTCCCAGCCCAGGGTTACATTCTGGAAGCCTCTGGATGTGGGGAAGACTAGGAAGTGGGAAAAGATATTCTGCAGGGAGAAGCAAGTCCCGGAGGGTGGCGGGTGGCCCCAGCCAGCAAGCAATGCAGTGCCCTGTAGCAGGGATGGCAGAGGAGCGAGGGGTGCCAGCCACCTCTAACTCACTCTGCAGTGATTTCCCTGTTAGTGCTGAGCCAGGAGAGGAAGCTTGCCGTAAAAGAGACCTGAATGCCAGTGCCCTGGGGCCCAAACAGGCTGTACCCACAGCGGAGAGAGGCATGGCAATGAGCGGGCCCTAGAAGCCTGGGATTCAAGCCAGGATTAAGATTTGGAGCAAAAAGTGGCAGTCAAAACCAGGACACCTAAGGCCACCACTGGGAGAAGTGCCCGATTCCCGATGACATGAATTAGGGCTCATGTAATCTTGGTTGCATATTAAAGTCTAGAGTGGGGCCAGATCTGTGTGGTTAGGGGGCGCTAAGGGGAAGAGTATAAACTTAACATCCGTTTTTGCTTACTTTCCGGAAGTATATAAGGCATTAGCTTTTTTTAATTTGGTTAGAGGTATCAAATTTTCAATAATACCTTTAACGTTTAAAATAGGACTTTTAGAAATACACCTTTTAGTAAATGACAGATTCACTGACTTGAGTCAATCTTTTCAGGTATTATGGAAATGAAATTCCCCCTAAGGCACAAAGTTGCTTTGAAATCTATTTCTGAAATATCAGAGAGTGGCTAAGCTCTTCTCTTGGCACTCACCATAATTTAGTTCAAACACAATTACTGTAACATAATGTGATTTTACTATACCAACTCAAATTTGGAAATTAAACACTTTATAAGGAAAACCAGCTCAACCAGCTTACTGTAGACACTGGTGATTTCCCACATTTACTTTCTACAGTGATGAGAGGGCAGGGTTGCTGCCAGTGCCTCAGAGGCAGCCCTGGTCTGGTCTCTTCTTCTATGCCCAGCACTATGGACATGCAGGCACTCAATGGATGCCAGATGAAAGCATACACTGCTCCAGATGCAAATGAGAGTCAGGGCTTTCCTCGGGTCTTCCCCTCCTCCTCCTCCTGTTCCAGCAAAGGTACCATTAGCGACACTCTCAGCCCCAATTTATTACATGTGAATTTTATCCAGTGAAAAATATCACCATTGGAAAATTACAGCATAGACCACTACAATTACAGATCCACAAAATAAAGGATTCCAACTTTACCCAGCTTAGGAATGTAAGCACTACTCTGCAATTCCAGGTGCCCACACTATGCCCATTCTGAGCCAAGATACTTCCTTTCTCTAGCCGAGATCTATGCTTTCTGAGTTTTACTCTGCTTGTGCCACGGGCCCAGCTCAGTCATCCTCTGCCATTCAGGGGAACAGAGAATTGGTTGTCCTGGTTCTGAGACTCAATTCTGAAACAAACAAGGTTCATAATGTCTACGGAATTCTCTCCCTCTTACAAACTCACACACACATAAGGCACTTAAGGAAGATGTATAATGTGTAATGATACCAGAAAGGCAATCCGGCATGATGCCTAATGGGATGGATATATGTCTTCATGGCAGCCAAAGAGCTTTCATTTATATTTTAAAAGTGTAAGGGACATAATAAAATCTTTTATTTGTTAAGAAGCAGTGGGTTAGCTCTCAATCACAAAAATAGAAAAAGTCCACTGAGAAACTGGTTTCTAAAAAACACTAATTTATCATAGTTATAATTTAGCCCATTTAGTTCAAGCTCTGTAAGGCTGCTAAGTGAGCCTAGGGAGAGAAAAGAATTCATCACTGAGGCAGATGCTGGTCTCCTACCTAATGCCTTTCTCCCTATTAGCGGAGCTGGCTTCCCATTAATTAAAAAGCCAAAGCACGCCATGACCAGTTCTCCCAGGCTCCTCTGAAGCCAGCACATGGGATGTGACCCAACCATGACCAGTGTGGAGCTCTTAGGGACAGGAGACATCAAGAGAGATCCTCTCCTTTCTCTGTCAATAAAAAAAAAATTAATGTGATGCTTGGAGCTGAGGTGGCTATCTTGCAACAAGAGAAGAAGGTCAAAGATGCTCAGAAAGGCAGTCTGGGGCTGGATATCTTTGAGTTGAACCAAATCTAAAACTATCTGCCCAGACTTCTATGAGAAAAATTAGGGTTTTAGGTTGCCTTTGGTTGGGTATTTTGTTACCTGCAGTAGAAAGTATCATTACATTGTTGGGCCCAAATGTTTTTGCTCCTCCTGGGTTTCCTATTTCAGTCAAAAGTACAACTACATTCCCAATCACTCTGACTTAAACGCTTCTTGTCATCTCAGAGCCCTCTCTCGCCACTGCTGTCCATATACAATTAGCATTATTACCATACTTAAACTAATGGCGAGTCAAAGCCAGGGTCACTAATTGTACTACATTAAGCAAAAGTCAAATACAAAATAGAAGAAACCATATGCAACATGTCACTTTTCTCCCCAAATACAAAGTAGTTGTTGGGCAACCAGTAATTACAAAACTGATTTATTCCCCTAAGGAATTTTACAATCAGCTCCTTGACACCCACATCTTCCTGCTTTGGAGATT